ATGATGGATAAGGCTACTTTGTTTTCGATGATACAGATAAACATGCTCTTAACACAAATCTAATGATACCAGTAGAGAGATTTTCTGAGGGTTAAAAGTAAGTGTATTGAAAATCTTGCCATCTAAATTGATTGTCAGTTTCACACAGTACACTACCGCAGGGCATGGTGGGCAGGACATGCGAACCTGAAGCCATGCACTAGTCAAGTGTGTCACATGAAAACATTGCCGACTGCTGCTGTACCATGAAGAGTCATCAGGGATGCGTGGTGGGAACTGATGGGGTCAGCAGACCCAGGCTCTGACCTGTGCTCTCTCTGATCAGGAACCAATGAGAAAATCCTAGAACACATCACAGGGGAAGGCAAGCAGCTGATGGCCACGGCTGAGTCTGTGTTCCAAAAGGTTGCAGAGGAACTCGAGAATGGCACCATTGCGGTTGGGCAGCTGGAGTTGATCCTTGAGCACAGGAATCAATTTGTTGAAATCTGGAACTTAAGTAAGTATGAAGTTGAGATACCACCTTCAGGCTGATGAGCCTCTTCAAGAGGGAGAAAGCTTGGATATGGCATTTTGCGGGCAGGATGTGTTTCTGGGCTTTGTATCCGCCGGCAGTTGTTGTCAGCAAGTTGAGAAGCTGTGGTTTATTCTTCTGAGGAATATCCCGAGAAGGCAGTAGAGTGAGGGCAGTAAGAGCTTGCTCTGTTCCATGCTGCCGAGCACATGGCTCCACCGTCCTCAGAGACTGGTTGAGCCGGCGTCTTCCTGGTCCCTCCTTATCGCCCTGACCATGGAGCATGTGCAGAGCGAGGCAGCAGAAAGCAGCTACATGGAAGGCAAGCGGGATTGTGTGAGCTGTCAAATTACTTTTCAGACAGAATACGGCTGCCACTCCAAGAGAAGGCCTGTGATTTGAAGGACTTGCTGGAGAGGAGAGAGGATGATTTGCGGTTCCTCAAGCGAGAAAAGAGATACGTGGAGAGTCTCCTCAGGCAGTTTGGGAGAGTGAAACACCTCGTGCAAGGTGGGTGGGCACCCAGGAGTGGTACTGAAGAACCGAGGGGTCTTGGGGAGGGGCCGAGGAAGGTGCAGGACGGGTGGGCATAGGGGCAGAGTTGGGGTGGGCACATAAGTATATGTCTGTGCGTGTGCTTGTGGAGGCCCAGGGTCGATATGGGATGCATTCTTGAGACCTCTTTCACCTTATTCATGTTGTTGAGTCAGGGTGTCTCTATGTAACAGTCATGGCTGTCCTCTGTGGACCAGTCTGGCCTGGAACTGAAAGATATCCTCCTGCCTCTGCCTCTCCAGCACTGGGATCAAAGGTGTACACCACCACTACCTTTTTTCACCTTATTCAGTGAGACAAGTTCTCTCAATCAAACCCAGAGCTTGCTGATGTGTCTAGCCTTGCTAGTCAGTTTGCTCTGGGGATTCCTCCATCCCTGCCTCCCCAGGCTAGAAATACATTCCGGCTGCCATAGTCACCTGACATTTATATGGGTTCCAGGGATCAAAAAATTTTAATCCAAGTTCACTTGTGTTTGCCCGAGGGAATCAGCATCACCTCTGTCTCCAAGTCCATGCCTGCCAGCATCTCTCTGACTTTTATGTGCTACAACTATCTGTTGACTCCCAAGATGGGGTCCGTTTCTGTTTTCGGGGTCTGTGTGGTTTGTGTACAGACTGAAAATCTAATAAGGGAGGTTTTTGCCATTTCTAAACTCCCATTAGGACAGGTGTTTTGCCTCATCAGGCCTTCACCTGGCCCAGTCCCCCAGTGGGTTGCATTTGCTTGTCTGGGTGCTCAAGGACAGAGCTTATGCCAGAGGCAATCGCCCCTCAGGGCTACACTCCCTCATCTCAGGGAGTCAGTTGAAACAAAGCTTTCTCAAAGAGGTGCTTTCTCTGACAGAAAAGAAAGCTTTACTCCTGGATAGTTCTGTTCTGCCCTGGCTGGGCTCTTTCCCTAGACAGCGTTCAGACTCAGCAGCACAACTGCTTCAGACACAGTTCAGCTTTACTGTTTTCCCTGAAAGGTCCTTACTCTTATAGAAAAGCTTTTTCTCACATTTTTTTTTTATTTTTTATTTTTTTTGCAGCTGTGGACCTATCAACCCGGGACTTGTAGGAAATCGCACAACTGTGCTGTTCCCACCGGCTTTAGCTTTGTTTGTTCACTAGCAATCTTCCCCTGGGTCCTGCACCTTCCTGTCCTAGCTCTGTGCTTCAGGAAGTTTACAACTGCAGGAACCCTAGTATCCCCGAAATGTACTCCAACTCAGAGATGCTGGCCAGTTGCCTCTGGGTTTTGGGTCAGAAGTGAGGATACAATGCTAACGGAGTTTGCATTGCTTCAGGGGATCTTTGTTTTGCATTAAGACATTAGGAGCACCTTTTCATTCTGAAAAGCTCAGACAAAACCCTGGATGCCTCAGCTGCTGTAACTGAAAAGCTTGGCTTTTTTGCTTTTCTCAGGCAAAGTTTCCTGCCCTTTTGGGCTCTCTGTAGTTCTTCACCCACACTCTCCCAAGCGTTTCCCTCAGGGTACTCTGACCCACTGTCTTTTACTAGCTTGAAGAGACAGAGCTTAGAAGAGGTTTTTAGAAATTTGTTCCTGCCTCCTGCATTGCAGGGATGAATTTTAAAGCTTGAAA